TTGTTTTTGGTCATTGATTACGAAGGAAAAGTATTTTAAAAAAGTGTGTGAGAAAACAGAGATAACAGTGGCTTGTTCAAAAGGATATAATATGTTCAGGATGACTTAGCAGTTGTTTTGGAGGCGGCGGAATTTTTCTGTCATACTTTTACGTAACTTATTTGTGAGGCTGTTTTATTAATTTCTACTTTTTTATTTTTGTTTTTATTCTAATTCTTATTCTTATTTTCTGATTTGGCTTTACATAGCGTTTTTTCCTAATCCTTTTTTTGTCTTTGCTTCTTCCATCATTTGCTTATTTCTTGGTGAACGAAAGTGGAAAATAAAATTAAGAAACTTAGGTTATAGACGTCGTCAGAGGAGTTCCATAAAAATAGATTCATTAGAAATAATAATTGGAATTAAGTAATTTTCTTAATGCAACAGTCATCGGAATGTGATGTTGCCAGGAAACAGAGTGCATCGGACTTACAGAGTAGGCTAAAAACTCGAAAGTTGCTCGGTGTTGGCGAGCTTGTTGGCGACAATGGTGATATTTATCGTTCGAAGGTAAGTTTTCTGAATTTGTTTGCAATATTCGTTATGGCAAATTTAGTTTATTCTTTTTAATTGCAGTTTTTTTAATTTTATTATGCTTAAATTTAGTATTTTTATATCAGGTGTTCTTAGTAGTGGAAATTAAATTGCACCTGTAAAAAAAATTTTTTCTTCGTGACTGGTTGCTATGAATCTTGTTACTGAAGAACATTAAATTTTAGATCTCACAGTTGCTTGGAATAAATGAATCTCTTTATGTGAAATTACCGAAAGGATTATTATTGTTTAACTCTCTGATAACCCTTTATATATATGTAGCAGGGGTTCTGGTAAGTTCTTTTTCTTTATGTTGCTTAACAGAAACAGTTCTATCTATGGGCTGCCAGTCTTCTTTTACATATTTCATTACCTGGTGTTTTCTCGTTCTATTGGTGGTTTTGGTTTAAGTGCTTTTTAATTCCCTCGGTGGGTTCGAAATTGGAGTTCGGCACTTACACAGGAGAGTATTCCGGTGTAAGGTTTTATGGTGCAGCTTTGGCGGCTTTTGGGATCCTGTTTCGATCGTTACTGACACACTTGGATACGAGGAGTGAAATAGCAACTTTTCTTTCATCATGTTCAATACTCTTCTTGTTGCAGATAATTGGTTAGTTCACATTTCACTATACCTTTTTAGATAAGTTTTTTTTTACAACAGAAGTACCATCGTTACAAGGACTGGTTAGATATCTCTCTTTAGTGAAAAGTAATTTTATAGCCGCTTTTCAGAACCGTTATGAAGCGAATTTAGTACAAAAATGTTATTGTTATTAAAATAATATTGTTAAAAATATTGTTATTCGATAAACACTTGTTTGTTTTAGATCTTTGGTCTCTGAAATTATTGTAATTTTGACTTTTCGCTCCTAATTAGCCATTTTTCAAAATCGAAAACTGTATTTACGATTTCGTCACCGTAACTTCATTGACATTCTTCTTTTACGTGGTGCAGACTTCCAATTCTAGTTTTTTTTTTTTTTCAGTAACAGCAGTGGAGAGTCAACTTTGTGCCGCGAGGACAGCTTTTAGGGCACTAATGATTTTGGGCTGCATCTATTTTAAAATAATGCTGGATAAGCAGGCATGGGTTGACGATTTCTTTTCTATTCAATTTTAATATGACCAGATCACTAGTCATTTCTTCAATAATTTTTTTCCCTACTCTTGTTTTGCAAGGAAGTTATGTGCACTGCTTATTTCGCTGAAAATGTATTCTTTTCAGGGAAGTATATATCGCTACTTAGCCAGATTGTTTGAAGGTTGGAACCTGTTTGGAAGTTCGGCTTGTGCATCACCAGCTGAAGAGAAAGATAAGAAAGCATAAGAGTTGTTAATCTTTGGTTGCTTTATTGTACATGTATTTTCTTTCTTTTAATTCTCTTTGCGTTTTACTCATCTACTTTTGTGGCTTGTTTCTCCTTCTCATTGTATTTCTTTTTTCATTTGTTTTTTTTTTTCTAACTTTTACTCAGACATCTGAAAAAATAGCAGAATTTCTTTGCTAAGTTGTTGGAAAAAGTTATTCAGGAAGCAAAAAAGTTCTAACTGCGAACTACTGGGAAGTTTTTTTGAAGCAGTAGTTTATGTTTTGTTGTAGCGCCTGCTGGTTCCAACGTCGTTTGATTTAGTAGGATGCCTAAGGCAGGTTGTTTGTTATACCTTTGTTCCTTTTGTACATAACTTCAAATTCTCTACGTTTATCTAATTATTCTTCATTTCAAGTCGTTTTTAGTTCTAATTTTTGTTTTACTTCAAGTTTATGTGACCTGAGTTTATAGCATTAAAAAGCTTCATTAATGTAAGATATTTGGCTTTAAAACTTAATAAACTTTGTCTCATAAGTTTTGGTACCCACACTGTTTGACCTTCACTTCCTGTTTTCAAAAGCACTTCATTTGGCTTTTCAAAATCAGTACTAGCTTGTAATGAATATTGCGTTTTTTTGGTTGCTTTCCAAGTTATTACTCGAGGGTTTCCGAAGGTTTCAGGAGAGAAGCTTTTTTTTTGACGCCAGTCTCATTCTAGTACTTTGTTAGAAATACTGCTTTGGGGACGGGACTGGTGTTTGGCCAACCCGATTATTCCAAGGAAAATTTGTATCAATGATGGGCGGTTGGGACGATCCGTGTTTCATCGTTATGAGGCATCTTCACCGATAAAATTTTTTTGGATTTCTTATATGGACTTCTGAGGATTCTTGTCAAAGTATCAACGTGATATAAATTTCCGGTTAGGGACAATGTTTTGCGGGAAACTTTCTGTCAATCTTGAAATGTCCTGCTCATAGTATTCGCAGAAGATTACTAGTCTTCAATTTAGGTCGCTATTTTCTATGTTGCCGTCAGTGGCTCGTCGAGTCTTGAAGGTTTGTTTGTAATTTACCAGATTTCCACATCTTAGGTGATGTTCATCAGATTTAACAGGTATTTCATCTGAACTTGTGGCTTCCAAGTTCAACTTTATGGCAAATTTTTTTCTTTCTGCAAAAATTTTTCCAAACTTTTCAAAAAGCTCATAGTGCTTTTTGGTCTTCCTTGAGACTAAATGAATTTAATTAAGTCTTCATTGAGAAAGGCGAATGCAGTCATCTTATGAAGCAAATGTGGCTTCAGATGGGTAGCATTTTGGAGAAATTTCCAACTTTTAACTGGTGTTTAGAATTTGAATGTGATTTATAGGCGTTTTATTGAACTGATGAATAGAGCTAGACTGAATAAGGATAATCAAATCCGTTTTTATCTCGGAACAAATAAGTTTTCTGGACACTTGAAGTGAGAGTTGAAAATAAGTACTGTTTCATGCTTTTGACACGACTTTTCATTCACTTGACTAGCTAAACTGAATATCGTTTCGAAGACGTTTAAGGACGGGAATTAATTCTGGCTTTGATTATATTGATGTAGCAAGTTTGAAAAGTATCACTATAGACCTAAAAAATGGTACTCAAATGCTTGTAACGCAGACTAATTTTTTGTGCAGGTGGCCAGTGGTACATTGTGAACTGCGCACGAGTCTGGCCGACAAAGTTCTGTGTTACATGTTAGAAACGGTGCTCTGTGTTACATGTTAGAAGTGGTGCTTTTTAGAAGGAGAGGAATCAGAGCAATGGGGTTTATGTCTACCAGCTAGCATTTGAGAAAGTAATGGCCGAAAAAATCTTTGGAGCGCTATGCTGTGCATCAGTCATGAGAGTCAAAGACGGATTAGTTTTTTGGAACGATGATTTGCAAAGATGGCGTTTTTGGAGAGTGAAAGACTGTACAAGCTGATTGCAAGATATTCAGTCAGTAAGGAATATGAATAATGGTATACATGAACCTGTAAGGTTTTGTAAAGCTTTGATTGTGAACTTGTACAGATGTTCATTCTACTACATGTTGTCAGCAAAGCAACCTTGGAAAATTTTGTAGGTTTGGAAGGAGAGACTCTAAACTACCTTTTTAGAAAGTAAAAAGTGGATAGACATGTTTGAGAATGCAACAGGGGAATGGAGCTGGGACAAGAATTCTAAATATGAAAGATGAAAACATATTGTTTGAAAGAGCTTCAGTTTTTGAAATGTACGTGTTAAACAGCGAGACTGGCGGTTCCGCTAACTGTATTCTAGTGGCTAAAACGAGCAAACTGTTATTTTCCTTTCACCTGACTGTCAGTAGGGCGCACCTGTCTTACCTTTGAAAATTTACGCAGAAACTAGAGGGGCGATGGCAGGGAAAGTATGCTGAGGCCAGTCGGCAAAGCGTCATACGGTTGTGTTTAAAATTTTTGAGTTGAAGATTGATGCATTGAGGTAATCAGGTTGAACTAATTATGCCATTTTTCTTTACGTTGTTTTGTTACTGGCTGCCACTTGTCCGCAGGGTTTAAATTTTGATACTTGCGAGAATTTAGAAGTTGTTTCAGACAGGCTTTTATCAAGACGAGGTCCAACGAAAGTTGGTTGTTGGACAGGTTATACTAACAGTAATATAACTGTAAAACCAGTAATCCTTAAACACAACTACTTTTTTACTGATCTGACTTCAGTTTCAGGGCTTATAGCCAAGTTCTAGGACCGCACAGGAATACTTCGGATCTTTTTTAGAAAGCATTTCTTCAGAGATAGACGGCACCGGAGGCTGATTGTGCCGGGTGGATCGAGACAGATTTACGGCCCTACTCACTGGCTTGTAAGCAAGCACAAGCTGAAGAAGTTGTCCTGGCCTATGTTGACTCTCTTCTCACAAAGGTTTTACGGACTACTGTTGAAGTCATAGTGTATAAAAACTGCTTCATCTCCATTTCCGGACCCTTCAGAAAACTATCTCGTTGTCGGCACTGCAAGCTCTCTGTGATTTTCGTGCCTGAAAACTGATCGCAACAAAAGCTTGTATGCATAATTTGCGCAATTCTATACTAATTACTACGAAGAAGAGAGACAGCTGCTAATTAATTTTTTTCACTCGTAGCTAGAAGGCTTGTAAAGGAGGGGGACCTCTTTCTCCTTGGGTACAGTAAAGTGATCTAAGACACATGAGTTGGAACTCTATCTGATACTGTGCTGACGTTGGAAGATTGTTCCTTCCTCAAAGAACTCCCTGATGTTGCTTCGTCTGCTTATTTTTTTTTTTCGTGGGGACAGTTTGTTGAGACGTAAAGAGTAAATCATATTTTAGTTTTTGAAGTGCAGTGCTTTGTAATGTACTGTTTTTTCCTTCAAGATGCATCTTACTTTAACTAATATGTCTGATTTGCTTTCTATATTTAAAAAAAAATATCTGTTAAAAGAACAGATAAGCAGTTTGACAGAGTCATCTCTCTTTTGCTGTAATGTCAATCTCTGTTACAATTTCACGCACGAAACCTTGATGCGTTTCGGGGACGGAGAGGAGATCTAAAGCTTTACATGGCAATCACTTCGAATTTGCTACCGGAAGGCTGTGGAAGTAGCCAATTAAGACAAATTTTGCGAGAAAGTAGCACCAGTGCTGGTTAAGCCGGTGCTCTGTTGGGAAGTGTTAACACAAATTAAACTTTTTTTCCAGCCAAAAAGCATCTTTTGAAGATGCTTTGTCAACTTAGGGGGCATAGG